AGCTAATCAGATTCAGGTTTGTCTTTTTAAATTAAACCTATTTTTAATTTATTTTTATATATTTTTATTGAAAAATTCTACTTTTTACCGCACATATTTGTTTGACAAATTTTTTTATTATCACTTTCTTTTCTATTTGCCAAAATATCAACTAACTTGTCATTTTTTATATAACTCGTCTTCTATGCAATTGAAAGTTATTGAAAGTTTTTATCATTTTAGCTGTCAACCATTCTTGCTTGATAAGTTAAAGCTGAGCCTTACAACATTGGTAAATTAAAAATTTTGTAAGCGGCAATTTAAAAATAGGTCAAGCGATAAGGTTAAGGCCTTGCAGTCTTCCTTCTTGTTTTCGGTCCTTTTTCTCCTTTTTCTTACATTTATAATCGAACATTTGAATCAGCCGTAATGAATAAGATCACATGTTTGCAGAGCGATTTTTTTCTAAGTATTCACCGGTTATCGTGCCAATCAGACTTCGCCTTCGCTCATTTTTGACATCTAAAATTTTGTATTTGTTCATTTATTCTTTCTTATATTAGATATAATTCTCCTTATCCGTATATGAAGTCGATTAATTATTATCTTTCGTTCTTTTTATCATCAAATTACTTTAATTTTTACAATATTTATGCAATTATTCTCTGATATATTGATAATGTAATTGGTATCTTGTAATATGTAATATGATATATATCTTATTCTTCATCGATCCACTGCTTTCTGATTATCATATTTATTTCACCTCTATCTTTCGCTTATGCCAATCTGGTTTTGTAATGCAAGCATTTTCATTTAATGCCGAGGGATACTTGCTTCCTGGCAGATTTGTCTAGCTCGATAAACCAGCGGAGCGTAATGAGTGCTCCTAAAAAAAATTGGTAATGATATTCTGTAAATAAACAAATTTATAAAAAGTGAAAATAACGAAAAAGGTGGTTGCTAAATGTTAAAAAGACTTTTTGCTTAATTTATTTAAATTTTATATTCTTGTATATATTCTTCTTGCTGATATCTCATTGTCGGTTTAGCTAGTTCCACAGGTGGAGGTGGCTAGCATGATGAAACGTTTGCACGCGATCCTGTGTCATGCCTAAAGCCATTCATGCGCGCGCTTATTTAAATATTTTAATTATAATAGGAGATAATTATAAAAGTATTATATGATCTTTTATACTACAATAAATAATTTTATTACACTTGTTGCTAACCCAATTTTATCGATGAAAAATGCGATCGTCTAATTTTATCGAAAATTTTTAGATAACATTTCCTTACAGTTATTTCAGTTTGCAGTTTGCCTCAAGTATCGATCTCACTAAATGCTCACATGTCGATTTTTTATTTTTTTCGCCGTAAATTTTTTTATAACGAGTTGAAATTAAGCGTAACGAAGAATTTGTTGCGCATGGATACGGTGCGATGGATACACTTTCGTGCATCAATCATAATTTTGGCTGAAATTTCCAAAATTTTATGACATTTTAACATAAAACATTGATTTTACGCGGTCGCAGATGTTTTTACATTATTCGCGGTATCGAAAATGAAACTAATTTTTCTGTACTCGTTTCGGATTACCTGTCCGCTTATTTCCAAACGACGCCTCTCATTTCCGATTTGGCTTGCTCCACTGGCTACTGGAGTGTGCGCTGATCCTCTTCTTTCTCTCCTTTCATCGAATTCTTTTTTCTTATTATTTTTAGCATATATTACCATTAAGAAGACTGGAAGAAGGCGAAAGCGACACAAACTAAGTTTTTATTCTATCTGATGTATCTTATAAACCATAAACCAGAAATGAACAATTCACATGGAAAACATCCGTAAACTTATAAATTTATTCTATTCATCCTCATTATTCATTTATTGATCCACAATTCATTCATCATTTATCACATGCATGTCAATAGATATCCAATTAAAATCAGTTGTGGTGGAATTTCCCGATCTATTTTATCATTCTCGTGTCATTCATTAGTCAATCGACTGTATTTAATGAAATTGTAAGTTGAGTATAAATTAAAGGGAGAGGCAAATCACTGAAAAAAATCCGCGAAATGTTAGGGAACAAGAAAGTCGAGAAACTGAAATCCTCTATCGCTTTAAAATAATACTGCTGTATTGGTGCTATGTTGCTCTAGAAAAACGTTCTTTTTAAATTCATTCTAAAATGTTCGAAATTATGAATATAAATATTCTTTTCAAATCGACACATTTGAAATGATAGTAAATATCAGTTCGTTCCATGTTTTCTGGGCAATATCGAAAAGAAATATCAAAAATTTTTCGGCGATATTTTTTCCGGAATTTTCAGTGAATTTTGTTCTTATGCGTGAACCACTCACTTAGAATAGTTCATGAAACCATTATTGCTTCAATTTACTAAGCTTAATTTGTCTTCTCGAATGGCTTTTCTTTATTTAGTTTGCTGAAATCTTATTTTAAAAGAAATTTGTGGAAGACCGGACTTTTTGAATCTATATGCGACACTTTACATTTCTTCATTGAAATGCTAATCTGCCTTTATTGAAACCAGTTGACTTATTCCATTAAAATCATCGTAACTGGAATAAATTACCGAATTTTCCGCGTGGATAATAGGTCTCACAACCATCGGCATGTCACAGGTTTAAATAGTGAAAATCATTAGTAAATTTATTTATTACTGTATTTTATGGATAATATATAATTTTATAGATGTATTAATATTTATTATGCAATACATTATTATTAAATAGATATATTATTAAATATATCTATCTATCTATATATATTATTATCTATAATTAATATATAATATATAATTAACAAAAATAGAATTTATATGAAACGAGTTATTCGGATATCAAACAGTGTCTTCTCTTTGTCTACATTGACTTATCATTATTATCAATAAAATATTAAACCGATTAAACTGTTTTTTTTGGTTAATCGAATACCATAAACCTAAGTTCTCTTGAATGAAAAAAAAAAGTAATTCTTTTCGTAAAAAAACTAATTTCTTCGTTTCGTCTTCCTTGAATTTCAAACAATCCCTTGTTAGATATAAATCATTTCTCTCATTTTTCCCACTATTTACTTTTTTAAACAAACAGTTTGCTAATTATAAAGAAAAGTCTTAAAGTTTCAGCTGAACATAAATAGTGATGGTAATCTCTTAATCGGTAACGATACGATGATAAGGCGATCTTATATAAAAGAAGGAAGTGTACAGCTGACATCGCTGGATTCGTTGACAACGCATTCTAGATATTTATTTCTTTTTAATGATCTGCTACTGATTACTAAGCGAAAGTTAGTCACACTTTCATTGAAAGTTGAGAATGCTTCATCGGTGAAGAATCTTAATTCATATAAAATATTTATTTCACTTATAAATATTTCGAGTGTTTGGTGAAAAATGAAACTTGTTTTTCCTCTTCCAAATACAAATCACAGTTTCCAAAAAGGCTACTCATATCTTCTTTTTCCGCTAACACTTGGTTGGTTATTAGGGGGTCCATTGGCCAGTCATTTGGCCAGAGCTAGAAGTGCAGATGATTCCCCAGCACCACCTAGCTTCATAGTTTTGAAAGTTCAAAATAAGTATTCATTTTCATTTTCATTTCCCTTATTTCTTAAATTTATCCTACTTCACAGTATTAAATTCTATAAGAGACAAAAATCTTTTCTTCAAATAATAATATAATCAAATATAATCTTTTTAATGCCACTATTTATGTATTAACAATAACGATGATGTTCTTTGCCAAAACTGAATTTTGAACATGTTGGATGCATCGAATTGGTTCGATAAGTATTCGCTTATTAATTAAGGCTCACCACCATTTCTCCTTAGGTGATTGTTGCTCAGATCCTTGCCTCGAGCAATGAGACTCTATCTCTGAAAAAGAAAGCCTGGTATTTAAAAAATTTGGGTCCACCTATATTCTCCATTATCAAGTAACGCCTTGGCAAGAGCTTCAATTTCTGTGCTAGCAGTCGGTGAAGCGATTCCAACCAGAGATGGTGAGTACGAATCATTCACTTATGTACTTTGAATTTAATTATTCTTAACAAATTAAATAAAAAGAACTATTTCAAGGGCAACAAATAGTTATAAATTGAAAGAAAAACTTTCGTTAAATCAAATTTGGATCAATTTAAATGAAACGAATTATTCTTTTATTATTGGATGGCCAATATCGAATTATATTGCCCATTTCACGTTGGTTTATTTCTTGATTTTCGTTCGTTGTACAATAAATGGAATCAGCAAGAGACGTGAAATGAACCAATATGATTGTTTCCCGTTTCCTTTTTATCTGAAGAGGAAGAAGTTTGCCATTTCTGGTTAGGCTCGTTCCGTTCGAAATTTGGGGAAATTGGAAATTTTTGTCAGGGAATCAGTAGGAGACTGAAGTGAAGTTGGTCATTAGCACAACCCGAATTTTTTAATGGCATGTTTATTGCTCTTTGTTTCTCAAACGATCTTAGTTGAGTTGAGCAAATCTCCACTTCAATTCTCGCTGCTTTTCATTATATAATAATTAAAAATTAATTACAATTTTAGCACGGAAGAAGAGAAAAAGAATTGGTTCGAAATACTAGAAGAAAAAATTCATAAAAATCGTTCAAAATTTATTGCAAGATACACGACATTACCTATATTTGTTCGAATAAATGGTCGATTTCAAGTTTGTATTTTTCGAAAAATACGTGGATAATTAATTACAGCAGAAAAGATAGAATTAATAATATTAATAAATAATAAGCAAAGATTAGCTGATAAATGGAGTTAACAAAATGAGGGTTTTTTTGAAGTTCAAATTCATCAAACATTTAGAATGTACTTGAATTACTAAAAATAGTTTGCTTAATGAACAAATGGTTAACACTCATGATTATCGATATAATTCTGTGATTAGTGAGTGATTATTTTGATAATGAATAGTTATGCCGACTAAGTAGAGGAATAACTATGCGCTTGTCTTAATAATAATAACATTAAATTAGAAATGAAGGTGAGTATTTTAAAATGAGAATTAGAAACGGAGAAAAGTGATTTTAAAATAATTTAATAAAAAATCGTTATATATATAAATGCGTTAAGGTTATGAAAAAGAAAATTGATAATGATCGGTCAGCGAGTGATGTTCTCGATGAACTTATAAAAGAACTGGAACTCTCACTAAAAGAAGAATTCGAACTAATTTTTGACACTGGAAATAGTGATTTTGGATCTGCTTTAAAAGGACCTGAAATAATTTTTTGTCTTGCAATTAATTATATAAATAATTCTGGTTTTCGTATATCCGAACTGCAAATTGAACGTCTTGATACATTCCCACTGAATCGATGTCGCTTAATTCTTTCAACGCTTAATTTTTCACGAGCCAATCCAGCTCAAACTCTTGTAACTCATTTTAAGTAAATTTTTATAGTTGTTTAAAAATCAAAAGTTAACGGTTGAACGATTTTTCTAATCCATAATTCTTTTTCGGGATTGGTACATAACCAAATGATTGCTAGGTGACAAAAATTTCTTATTTCTTACTGCATTAATAGTTCCAAACGCATTAGCGGAACTGGCCAGAAATGGAGAGTGCTAACCACTTATTTATTTTCCTTTTTCATGATTGAAAAATATGATTTTTTTAGACGTGTATTAAGTCGTACCGGGTCAAAGAATTTCTTTGGTCGACCTCTTGAAGGCTCAGCACCTCCACAACCTGTACTTACGATGATTGATCATCTTTTAATGAGCGGCTTAGACGTTGAAGGAATTTTTCGTAAATCACCAAAGCAAAGTACTACGAGAATGCTCAAAGCGCAACTTGATCGTGGATCCGTTCCAGATTTTTGTCAGTTTAGTCCTCATGTGACAGCTGCATTATTAAAGGTGCATAATTCATCATTTCCATACAAATCCGCTTCTGCGCCATCATAAAAGATATCATATTTCTTGCTGTGATATAGATATCTAGATTCGTTCTTAGAAAAATACATGCAAAAAGCGAACATCGCTCATTCATCAATAAAAATACTGCGTATTTTTGGGTAATTTAAATTCAACTTTGATTTTAACATTTTAGGAATACTTGCGTGATATTCCTGGGAAATTATTATTATCAGGTAATTATGATTTATGGGCATCAGCAATGAAATTGCATGAGGATGAAGAACGAAAAATTGTGGTAAAACGACTTCTCCAAATGCTTCCATCGTCGCACACAGTGCTTTTATCAGCAGTACTGCGGCTTCTCCGAGCGATAACGAATTCGGCTCATACAAAAATGAATGCTCGATCATTAGCTGTTTGCATAGCACCTAGCCTTTTAGATTGTCCAAGTAAATTTTTTTTGTTGCCCCGTATAATTTTCAAAATTAATCATTTAACTTCAGTATTTCTATTTGATATTTCGAAGTTTGACAGTGCAAATGCGAAAGAGAAATTAGCTCGATTTCTGAGATTTCTTTGTAAAAATTTGTTTATTTAAGATATAAAATTTCGAACATCTTGCAATATTCGTAGTGTTCACAATTTGCTTTTTATTTGCTTTTCTAAACAAAAACCTCATTTTTTAAAACTACATTATGCCAAATTTACTTGAGTAAAATTAAACATAACTTGTAAATCAATGAGCACGAAACCAAGCAAAGCCAACCGCGAGTAGTGTGCTTTTTCTCTGAGGCGCCACTTGGCAACAGCAGTACAGATGAATTAGCAGCATTTTTGAAGGATAGGTTTATTTCTACCGCAAGTAGGACTGCACTCTCTGAAATGAGAGTAACAATCCAGTGAGCAATTCATCCTTCTTTTGCCCTTCGGCAATCAGACGATGATTCGGCCGAGTCATCTAACCTGAGCTTTTCTGGGTAAAACAACCATCTTACTACTAAGTTTGGTAATATTATATAGCATCTATGGTGTGATTTTTTTACAATGGCTTATTATTTTATTATTTTGCAAGATTATTATTTTGCCTCGAGAAACTGCTTTATATAGCAGATGAAAGAGAGAAATTTTAAATGTCGAGTCCAGTTTGCAAATGTAACCGTTTCATATCGATGAACTTACTTTTACTCGTAATTTATTAAATACATTTAGAAATATATCTTAGCCTATTGTAACTAACAAATTAAACCTAATCTTCTGTTTACTTAATTCACTTCATTCACAGTTTCATTATATTCGTATTATCTTTCTATTGATTCATATAAGTCGAAATTATAAAAGAAAATAGTCCGAACTACGCGATTTTATACAAAATCTTTGAACATAAAAAGGGTCACTAACTTTGAGTTCAATAGTTGACGACCTTGGCATATCAGAATGTATTTATAGATATTAGATATTTATTTTTGCTGCCTATCCAAGTACCACAGTTACAGATTGAAGAAAATTTAATCACGAACCTTAGCAATGTTAACTAATACAAATTAAGAATGTCTTCGTGAAATATCTTCGACATTTGTCACATATGGACTCGGGCCACCAACCTTTTATATATATTAAACAACATAATGCAAATAAATGGATTTAAGAAGTGGAAAAAAAGATTTTATTGGATTTTTTATTCTTATTTTCATTTAAAAATTTCTAAAAGTGTATTTTTAAATTCATAAATGTGATTTTTTTAGCGATGGGACGAAGAGCTGAAAGTTTACCTCAGCTTGCAGAATATTTAATAATTCGAGCACCAGAACTATTAGAACCTTTCCAGGATGCTCAGCTCGCTATCTCTTCATCACTTTCTAATGATTCAGGTTAGCCTTTTCCCCTTTTACTATACGATGGTCCTTTCAAGGGTTAAGGATTGAATCTCAAATTCATTGGCTATACACAAATTCACTCTCAATTTCTTTGATTTCTTTGAGGTTACACAAAAGTTTTATAATATTATAAATTTTAGGATTATCAGATGTCGATATACCTATTGAACTAATAAATAGTATCTCTAACAGTGGCAACAATAATGATAAAGAGAAAAACAGTAATATTTCATCAAATACGCTGACAAGCTCATTAAGTAGTGCCTTATGTGCATCACCACAATCACTAGTCACTAAATATTCACATTGGAAGAGATATTCACTGAGATCACCAAATTCTGGTTATTATACAAGTAGTTTGTCAATTGATGATGAAGATATTGATATGATAGTCGAAGATAATGATCGTACACCTGTTTTATCCAGAGAGAATTCAAATATTCAACGCAATATACCAATAATTCGAAGAAAAAGTAGTTCAAAAAAGGAACGTTTAAGTGAAAGGAAAGCAGAAATAAAACGAACGTCACCGCTAATGAAACGATCTGAATCTATCGAAGTTTCATTCAAGCAAAACAATAATTATTTACCAAATACAAGTGAATGTCAGAGGTCAACAGGAGTTCAAGGAATTCAAGCCAACAGCCCAATATTAGCTCACAAACAATTTTATGAGCAAAGTCCTTTGGTCAAACGAAAAGGATCATTGAAAATAAAATCCTTCACTGCTGATAATGATGAACAACAAGGACGATCGACTGATACATCGTCATCATCTTATCAAGCGATGAGAAAAAGTTCTTTAAAGGAATCACCACGATTACAGCGAAATCGTCTCTTATTATTAGAATCATTTTATAAGAACGATTCAGATAGTTTTGAGGATTCGACAACGGAAGATGAATTTATACAGCGAGCATCACTTCCCAGAAATATTAAATTTCATACTAATAATGTTAAAGGTGATGAATCTATTTATACAAAGTATAAATACAGATTTCCGATTATTGCGTCACCTATTCAATACGATCGACGGATACTAAAAAGAGAAGAAAATCGAGATCCATCAGAAAATCAAGAGTCGAGGACAAAAGCAAATATTCCGAATAACAGCAATAATCCTCTAAGCACCACTACCTCAACGACATTTCCTGCAACTAAATGGTATCATACGGCAAATATGCAAGTAAAAGAATATCGGACTGAAATCAAGACTGTAGCGAAAGAAAAATTCACTCCAGTTTTGTGTGTTGGACCATTGAGAAAGAAATCTGAGCAAGGTTCAGTTTCTGAATTAAATTCTGAATTAATAGAGACGTCACATAATTTAGAATTAGGACAAAGCACGAAAGCACCTCTTATACGAAACCAAAAAGATGTGAATTGCAAAGAAAAGTCTCTAAACCATTTAAATGAGCTACAGACACCATTAGTTCATCACGAAAAAACTAATTCCTATCAACTGGCGGAGAATCGAAAAGTATCAGAAGAGCCTAATCGTTATGTGAAATCAAGTTATTCGTACCAGTCATATCCTGAAACGCAAAAATCAAATCTTAGGTCTCTCGAAAAAAATAATTATGTAGAAATGGACCCATCAAATCACGAATCGATTAAATCATTAGATCGATCGAATTATTATAGATCATATCAAAATAACAAGAATTTCAGTCAGAATGGAATATTCAAGATAGAAGAAGCCTCATTTTCTTCAATAGCAAATGGCTCATTAGATAATAATGAAAGGTTAATAACTCACGACCAAGATCAAGCGGATTATCAGATCGGTTTGCACCGCAATTTACGACGAATTTCAACTTTCCATGCAACCGATCAGTTTCAAACAAAGAAAAATAAGCGTTCGCTATCATCGGAATTATTGTCGAACCAAGACACTGATAACAAACATAAACTGCGTAAAAATAATCGAATAATTTTGATGGAACCTCTCGAAGTGAATTGGTCAGTTAATGAATTGAAAAGCATTTTTCAAAGAAATGCTCATCAACCAATTCGATTGGATACTGAATATCGTTCGAAAAACCACCGCTAATTAAATTTTTAACTGAATTAATTGAAGACTAAAATTGTACCCAACGAGCGACAGTTGCTGACACGGTTGTCTTTATTGTCTTATTTAAAGCAAGTTTGGTTGCTATAATTTTATGTTCCTTATCTTTCGAATAATGCGCATTGGTTCTGGTTTGGCTAACTCCAATGATTACTACGGTAGAGGCTCTTTCGTGATTTAGTGGAAGTTCTTTAGTGGAGAAAATCACTAGGTTAGTCGGTCCTTTGCATCATTTGCAGCATTTTTATGATTAAATCGTTCAGATAATTAAACCCCAAACCTTAATTCATGCGGTTTGAAATGAAAAAAATCTGAGATTTTTTAATTTTCTTACTAAGCTTATCGCTTCGAGCATCAAATTACGATTTCTGACTCCACTTTTTTCTTTTTTTCCCGAAATTTCCCGAAGTTTTTTTGCAACAAATCTTCATCGTTGTATTGCCAGTTAATTGCAAGGTTTCGTTTTTTAATAAGAGAAATAAAATAAAAAATAGCTTGGATGGTGCTAATTGATTTTGCTTAAAATAAAATTGTCTTCACTAGTTCATTCACATTTACTTATTTTGGTGATTTCAAAACATTGAATTATTTCGCCTTATAAATTATTTTTTTTTTTGTTTTATGGACAAAATATAAAAAATATTAAACATAGAAAAACGCAATAACGATTTTCGAAAGTGATTTTGTTTCGAAAAAGCCACCCGATTGTAAAATTGTAAATTCATTTATGATTTGCAAATAAAATAAAATGAAAATTAATTAAAAATTTCCAAAAAACATTATGGTCGATGAACATCCGAATGAATATAATAACTCGCGTGTACAAAGATTTATTCCAATGAAACTTTAGTTAAAAAATATTCAGTTGAGGAAGCAATATTTTAGTCGCTGGTAAAATGATAAAAATATTGTGGAATGGACGGCATCTTTCCGTTATTCTATTCTATTCTTACGATGCTTCATGCCTACTTCTATCATCAGTGATAAAATTTCTTGCAAAAGTTTCCTAGGTTAATCAAAAATAAGTGAGTAAGCTCTACTTATTATCATTACTATTAGTAATATTATTGTTATCAATTAAGGGTATATGACGTATTACAATTTACAAATAAGTGAATGAAAGCACTAAATAAATCCAATTTTCATCTCTCTTAGTCGTTATAAAACTAACAACTGCTGGTGAAAAGTATATGCTCGTAGTGAATATTTCATCTTTTATATCTTTTTTTTTTGCTATTATTACTTTCATATTATTTTGTTATAAAAATTGGATTGCGAACCACTGCAAGGTAATTAAAAATTATTATGAAGAAGAGTTACAAATTTTTTGTTGATGCATTCGAGAAATTCGTTTTGAAATTATGTTGCAATTATGTTTTGGAATTTTTGCACAGCTTGAAATTTTCCATATGAGAAAATAAACTCATCTAACAATTTTGTAGAATAGAGGGTGTACTATGGTCGAGTGGCGTTAAACTACCAGTACCATGGCTCGGCTCAATTACCTTGGAATTTTACCTTTGTGGAAATAAACCTTGCATTAAATTAATTAGTTATGCTGCTGGTAATCCATCTGAACTTTTATTTCAGCAGGAAAATTCTCTGATTCTCCAATAAGGATTCATTTTAGTGATTTGTGAAGTCAAAGCAAATAGAGTGAGCACCATAGGAATGGGAAAAGAATGGAAGTGGCAATTCCAAATTCCAATTCCAAAGCTCTTCGAATAATTATGCTGCATTTGTTACATATTATTTCATTTTATACGAAAAGCTGATAAAAAAAAATGACTAAAAATAATTTCTTACGAAATGGTTCAATTGAAAAATGAAAATATCTCGAATCCATCCCATGGATTTATTCAATCATTTCCGATGAATAAGGCCAGTAGAAAAATATGTTTATTGAAATTCGATTGCTCTGCTGGCTATTAGCACAGAAATCTGAATCTGGATCTGGAGAATTCTGGCTCACTTGGTGATGAATCTGGATACGGATGGGTTTACTTGGTGATAAAAGTACGGACAAGTCGCTTGCATTGCATTTACCGACTATTTCGATTAAAAATTAATGCAAAATAAAATAAAAGGAGGCAAAAAACTAAATTTTAAACTAAATTTTAAATTAAAAATGTAGATGAATATAATGAATGTTATAGCATAGTAATAAAATTAAAAAGAGAAAAATGCACTTTAATTAATCAAATAGAAGCGGCCAAATGCATTTTTGGGCAATGTAGTGTGTCCATGTGCACTTTTGTCGTGGGCTTTTGTCTTCAGTCGAAAGGGTCCTCGTTCATTTAATAGCCAGTAGGGCCAAGCAAATAAGAAATGGTGAATGCTATGGGAAGAAGGTAATATTTAAATTAATGTTATTTAATGTTTATTTAATGAGCAATTTTATTATAAACAATTAAAATTAAAATCATAAAAATTTTTACAATCGGTCTTTTTTTTAGTGCATTCCAATTTCGAATTTTTAAACCAAATTCAAATTTTTTCTTCTCACACCAATGCACTTTTTTTGATTTTTTGTACTAAATTTCTAAAATTCAGCAATTGTTTAAGATGGAATGGGGGAGGCAAGAATTATCAGAAGGAGAGAAAGGGAGGGAAGAAGGGGGGAAAGGACAGAGAGAAATTGTTGAAAGAGGAAATGGGAACGCGGAAAATGTTTAATTTCCCAAGTAAATATGAAAAAAATTGTTTAATTGCTATTTATTTGAAAGGATCATTTTAAGGGAGGGGTAAAGCAGTTTCATTTGACTCGTTTAAACTTTAAAATTCCTTATTTTCTCGTTTCAAACTTGAAATTCATCATTTTATATTCATTGCCCATTGTTTTCTTTATTGCCCTTTTTTCTTATCGTTTGCCATTCTTTACCCCTTTCCATTCCAAGGTTCCAATCCTTTTTCTTTTCCCTTCCTTCTTTCCCCCAAAATTTTTAAATATATTTTCATTTTTACTCAAAATTTTTCGAATTATGTTGAAATTAAATTTTTAACTATTTTCTTGAAATAATTAAAATTTTCATTTTTTAAAATCTATTTCTGTTTTGTCTTTTAATAGCACTTATTATTTCTGATTTGATTTACCACACTGATTGGAACTTTTCCTTCACTTAAAACTAGGATTAGAAGCACTCATGACCGTAATAGCCGGGGTTTTACTCCTGAACGATAGTAGAATCCATGATGGCTGATCTCAGTTGAAGAGTATATACCAGTTTATACCATTCGGCCTATTTTATTTAGAAATTTTTATGATTAATTATAATAGTCATAGTGTTATTATAAATAAATAAAAATTATAAGTGAAAATCTACCAATTTATAGTTTATCAAATGACTTAAAAATTTTGGGGACCTTACCTATGTTTGCATTTCCAACTGATTTAGAAGTAGTTTATCAACCAGAAATGTTAAAAAAAGAAAGGTCCGAAAATTCATTTATCATAGCAAATTCTGTTGACTCATTATAAATGAGATGAAATTGATAAAAATAATTGTTTCATTCCTTATTAATGTTATTAATGTTAAAAAAGAAAAATTTTTTGGAATTATTCTCTTTTATTAGTTTTGTTATTAATAACTACTGCTTTGCAAATTTATTATTGATATTATCAATAATAAGTTCTATTAGAAGACAAACTAACAACTATCAGAAGAAAAATAACCAGTGAAACTAACAGGATGCGAGCTGTGAGAAGTTTAACCTATAAATATGTATCTATCTATATATTATCTTGATTCAAATCCACTGCCCTAAAGAAATTAATAGCTATCCATGAACATCTGGCGACACAAATAAACCAGTTGCTTATGGCAGAATCTCACTGATGCTAGTAAACACAGAGAAGGACGATACTGGTCATGAAAATCCATAAGGTAAAACACCATCCATTTGCCGACCAATAATCTGCCTCTCCACAATGTGGAAAGTGTGAAGATCATAGCCATCAAGCTTTAGTAGATGAGTACTCTGTGAATGCCTGGCTGTATATAAAGTCAACAGGATCCTAATAACGGTCGTAATAACGATCACTGCGCTACGAACTCAATGTGACTAAGAAAAGCTACAGTTGAAGTCAACACAAAGGAGGTTCCACAAATGCCTATCAAGTGCAGTATATATCGAGAACGATGTTTTATCTCCTCTAGTGTTTCGATTAAATCTAAGGCTTCCCAGCCAGATAAGCACAAGAAGTGGATATGGATACAATTTCAAGAGGAGGAGAAGCATAGCTTTCTTCGCTAAATGGATTATATCAAGTTATATGCAAAAAGGCATTGATTCGCTCATCCATCTAACACGGATCTACAGCGAGGACATTGGGATGTTATTCAGATTAGAGAATGTGGCTGGATGGTATTAAAGAGAAGAAAAATAGTAATGACTAATGGAATGGACTTGCTATCAAGATATATTGCGGACTAACTGAAGTACCTTGGTATCCCACAGTCATAACCATGATAAGCAGGCAAGGAAGACTATAATATCTAAGTATCACCAAAGTGTAAATCTAGAAGAGCCTGCTTAGTGGGAAAAAACAATAAATATATAATCTCTTTATCAGTTACCAGATGCAGCTGGCATAATAAGATGGACAAAGGAAAACATAGAAACTACTGATGTGAAGACTCAGAAACTCTTCAAAATGCAGGGAAATTTCCACTCTAAATCCAATGCACAAATCAGCCAAATAGAAGGCGGATGTCAAAGCCACTGACTGTCTTGAATGAGACCCGAAACGTGCAATACAAATGAGAATGCTTCAGCAAGATGAGAATGCTTAAAGTATCTATATTGACGAAAGACCAAGTAAGGCAAATGGGGTAGCTGACACTGAGAAATCCTACCAGTGGTTGGAAATATCTGGACTAGTACCAAGGCATTGCTTATAGCACAAGAGACTAATCACCCATCCATAAAAGCAGGAATCTATCTCACTAGACACAGATTATGACTCACTAGGACTGGGTACAGATTATGTAAAGATGCCCCATAAGTATCAATATATAAAGTGCAAGAATAAACAAAGTGCATTGAAAGGAATAACCAAGAGCTGGTATCATCTACAGGAATATCTGTTCAGTATGGTATGGCTTAGATCCTCCAAAGATTAGATAAGGAATTCCTCAGAAAATCTTTAACGTGGAGAATAACAGAGCGAAGATGCTGCAGGACTTTTTCCATCCAGAAAAACAAACAAGAACTGGTCATCCAGTTCTAGAAATCATGATAGAAATTGGTGATGGATATTGCAATATCAAGCGACAGGAACGTTAAAAAGAAAGAATTTGAAAAGTTAGAGCAGGGGAGAAACTAGAGAAGATGTGGAAGGTGAAGATGAAAATAGTCCCAGTGATAACTATAGCACTAGGAATTATGGCCGCTAAGCTAGAAAAAGCTTCGAGGAACAACATCAGAGATCTCTGTTTAGAAGAAAGCACTGAACAAGTAAGACTGCGCGAAATCTTCAAATTCCTAGATCTTGGTAAAGAAGCCGAGGTTGAAGAGGGCCGTCCCCACCCATAGGTGGGTGTGAAAATGAATTTTTTTGTTGACAGGCGAGTCAAATTAACGAATTTTTTAAAAGTTAAATTACTTCCGAACGTTAAAATAAAGGATTTCTATCTCTTCGTGGCGAAAGTATTTCATCCTAACATTCATCCAATAGTCGCATTAATAGCCACAAAAACCACAAGCCGTCATTTATTTGTATGAATATAAAGAAATTTTTGATCTGATTTTGTTTTGAAAATTATGAATATCATTAAAATACTATTTATTTTGCAGAATTGTTTAAAATTTTTTAAAAAATCATGTTATCAGTTAATCAATAATAAAAACGATAATTTAAAGCGAAGAGCATTAGCATCAAAGAAATAAAAAAAATAAATGATCTATATATCTCGAATTAATCACCGCTGCTGTCATTATCATTAACATTATCAGTCTTAATGCAAGCAGCAATCGAATTATTTTCCACAAAACTTTTTTTTGTTGTATTTAAAATATAAAATTTACTAAAAAAATAAAATAAAAATTACTTCATTTTTCGCAAAAAAATTTAAAAAATTTATTTTTATTAACATTAATTAATTTTGTAAAAAAATCATCGAAAATCATGATCATTATTAATTATCAATTTAACTGGAAAAAAAATACTATCGATTCATTCCACTGTAAAGAAAATTATTTCGCATCCCTTATTTATTACCGTTTTTTTCCCTATTAATTTATGATGGTTTGTTTTATTATTATATATTTCCAAACGAAAGAAGCCAATTTATTTTCTCCATGCAAATTGCCAAATTTCATGGAAAGCAACGCTAATACCCTCCTAATGCTCATCGAAATTCCATTCTTTCCCTTTCAAATCCCATCTATTTGCGTCTTCCCTTTCGTCCCAATCCAGTGATATCTTCTTAGAATTAGCTTACTACCTAACTTTCAGACATCATATATTATGTACGTATTATGTATTTCTAACAATATCCCCGGTGTCGATTACATCTCTTATCTCTTAATACTCTGCTTATTATCGTAAAAAAGGAATATAGAGGGAAAGTGAGATGAATATGTCGCAAAGTGATTATGATTTGTGAATATGCTCGCCAGTAAAGAAGTATGTAGAAAGAACGTTTGTGGATGGGTGCTAGTACTCTATTAAAGGGCTCTCTTCTTCAGATTCCATTATAATGTTCTAACTCTCCACACCCTGAAATCCCTTCGATCTTTATCACCACCCTAAAACCTACCATATCTTATCATATCTTATGTCAAAAGTGCACCTTCTTAGCATCTTCTTCGATTCCCTTTTCCTATGTTAAGACCATGCTATGATGGCACCATACTGCCGAATATAAATTGTCTTTTTATTGCAATCCACTATCTAAAAATTCGTTATACTACTTGCAAAACCGTGGATCGCTGTGTTTTTTGAATCCTTTTGTAATATCCGTGGAAAAACATTCTTAAACTGCGCAAAATGTTCTTAAAATCAATTTCCCTTTTATTCATTTGCCACTACTATCATTCTAAACTTTTATCTCCTTCAGATCTATTTTTTCTCCCCAACAGCATTCATCCTCACTTTATTTCTTCAATGCTTCCTTAAACTAATTTTACCTTTATAAATTGTAAATTTACGAAAGATATCATGACGATAGTGCCAAAGGAAAATATCAGAAATTGGTGAGGCATTGACGAAGAATGATGGGGAATTAATAGGTGTGAAAACAATGCAGTGGCATTCGAAGGTGTGTTTAAGGAATATAACAAGTGAATCAGGGATATGCCAAGGTTTACTGACAATTCGCAGGACTGGTATTTATTAGTTTTCTTTTTCTATCGGTGATGTAGTTTAATACTATTTCTAGTTTGACTAATTTTATAGGCTGTTAAAGTCCTGTTGAACCTATTGTCAAAGACTCACTTTAGAGGATAGTGGAAGTAAATATGGGTTCATCTGGATCCGAAGCGTCATATGGATTTCAGTTTTAATGATAGGTTCACCCTCATTAAGGAGGAGCAATCGAACCTATGATGGCTTACCCATGTTAAAGCAACACCTATTTTATTTATTTTTTAATAAATAAATGAAATAAATTGATTGCTCCTCCTTTCAGCAAAGTGACTCGCTTTATTTAATGATTATCTGCTGATAACTGATAACTTATTCTACCTCTATCTATATAATATGGTAATTTCTATTCTTCGCGCTTTTTTTATTATTTATCTATATCAGTGGTTCGTTCATTTACCAGCAATATAGATTTTCTTATTGGGTCATGTCTTGACCTTTCAATATTTTTATTCCTTTTGCTCTAAATTGGCGATTTTCTAGATATTCCCATAATTTTTAGAATTTTTGGAACCTGGATTGATTGGAAGAAAATGGAGGCAGTGGTACCACTTTATGAGAAATAATAAAGTTCATTCAAAAATACCACTGAATAGGTAGTAAATTATGTAACCGTGTTGAGAGGCAAGAATCGGACTTATTCCAATAGGATTAAATCCGAATCCGAATGGTACTGGCAATTTACTAGTACTTTAAGTAGATAAATTGTAATAATTTTGATCAATACAATTTATGATTCTTCAAATATCGATTCTTTTTTCCCAGGATATTTTTTCATGCAATAGAAGCCAAAGGTTTTTTTTTCAGTGAAATACAAAATTACGATTTTTTGCTTATAGTTTATGGCTAATCTCCACATTTTCTTTTTTTTAAAACAATTTATTCGAGGTTTTTTAAAGATTTTTTGAAAAAAGGAAGATTTTTGATTTTTATTTTTTTTTACCAACACAGTGCTCGGGTTTGTCTAATTCACTGGCCGCTAATCAGAGATTTGCTAGTGGGTCACATGAAGATAAAAGTACGAGTGAATGGCTAGCACTGTTCGAATTTTTTGACAGGCGTACCCTTTTTTAATGGCAATTTTTCGGAAGCGAACCCTTATCTCCCAGTACAATAATCTGTTTCATTATCCTCTTTCTCTCTTCTTTTCTTCTTCTAATAGCCCTCATTACTGGCTCGATCCGCTGGTTACAAGAGATTCCCAAGCTGCTCGGTCCGACGCCATCGCTAGTAGTAGTAATAGAAGCCATTCCTTTTTTCATCGTCGCTGGTCTCCCTATATGATTTAAAATCTTTCCTGAGTCCTGACTGTATCAGTCCAGGTCTTGATTGGCCCACCTCGTTTTTGACGCCAACCATCACAGAGTTCAGGGAAATAACGAAATATGCGTCAACTCATCTTCCTTCATTGCCGTATCTTTTATTAACGGCGCATTATTTCATTTTTTCATAAAATATTGGAAAAACTTTTTTTCTCAGATTTTAAAACATTACTTAGTTTTATAAGATTTGTCACGCAAAGCCTGTCTTGCTTGCAACTAATTTCATAATGCTTGCAAATATAAATTTCGTTATGGTCTTCATTATTACTTAACATCGAAGTATAGGAGACCACTCACTACAAATTCTTCTTCTGACAACTCGGATACTCGTCTACGGATATAATCGTGTGAGATTTTATCCACTTGACGAGCATGTTCAACTAATAAAATGATAGAGAAAAGTTAGATCTGTCGAGTAAGAAATCTTTAAAAATTTAAAGATAAAACCATGTAAGAAGAATTCAGCAATAATTGGAATTCATTCAGATGGTTTCTGACGAACAAGCTAAAGAATTCGATTCAGTGAGATCTAATTTGAATAATTCCAGCAGAACCAACCCTGTCGAACCAAAATCATCTCAAAAAAATATTAAGGTTCAACAATTGGCTTCATTATACAGCCGAGGTTTTCTTTTTTTAATTTCAACAAATTTGTCGATATTTTCATTTTTCATAGCACAGCTAGAAATTTAACAACTAGCATTAGTTAATATTCGCATATTTGCACCATGACGGATGACGGACGGAAATTTCCACTTTCCATATTTCCAATATCTGAAGGAAGAACATCGCCTTAATAACTGATGGAACGGGAAATGCTAATGCCACATTTAAAATTTAGCAAATCAAAAAACAAGAACACTCGTAAAATGTATGAAATTCATTTAAGCAAAATAAGCAGATTTATCAAATGCCATTTTTTCGGTTATCCATACAATTTTCTATGCAGTTAGAGAATGCTTAAAGAATTTTATTTTTCTCGTAATGCTTTAGTTTGTAAGTTGCAGAGAAGCGAATTCAAGAAGTAATTTGTCTAACAACTGGAATATGCTTTCTCATCGTAGTGTTCGTTTTGCTTATTCGTTCATCATATTTAGCGTTATTACCGTTAATTGTAATACATGCTTTTCTCGGTATCATAACAGCTGATTTTCTCGGAGGAGTTGTTCACTGGGCTGCTGATACATGGGGATCTGTTGATACTTTTGTCGGAAAGGTAGGTCAATCATATGGATTTGGACTTATAATTTAAGTCATCACGGAATCAGAAAATAGTAAATGGTAAATTTTTTAACATTAAATTAATGGTCATCAGCTGGTCTCTATGGTCTGCCTAGGGTCTCTTGGTGACTCTTAGGTTGCATGGGAACCCCTCCGAATTATTTATTAATTTCCTGTTCGAATGCAACAAGTAATTTTTAATCATTTTAATTATTTTTGATTATTTTATTCATTGGATATTTGTAGCTATGCGCTTGGATAATGTCCTAAAACAAGAAAAGCAATACAGGACGGAAATGAAAAAATAAGTAAAAAGTGAGAATGAATGAAAAAGACAGGAAAAAAGGCGAAAAATTTCCATCGTCTTGCTTGATTTTTTCGCATATTTTGTCCCACTTATAAATTCCTTCTTTGTGCATTACAGCGTCAGACGATATTCCTCAAATTGTTCTAAACTCGCCTTAAGCGAAAACAGAAGCCGGGATTCTCATTAGCAATCTTTTATTTGTAATTCTAATATATGTTTGTGCGCTTGCAGTATCGCTTGACGATTGCAGTGTTTGTTATAAATAAAGAAGGTCGGACGGGTCGAAAGCGATATAAGTAAAATGATTCAGTGGCTTCATGGCGCACACAAATTGATACACTATTCTTGGTCCAAAATTTTTAGGAGAAAAAATAAAATTTTCAAAATTCTAAAAATTAAAAATGTTCCACTGGGCTCCATCATCATACAGGCAACCGCCACTGCCTTGACATTCAACATCAAATGCATAGATTTAAAATATACCATTTTCTCCTCAAATTAGGTATAAAATTAGGCATTATTTGGCTTAAATATAGACAATTTTTTGCTTAAATTTAATTATTACTTAATTATTCATTTACATAATTCAGTTATTCGTTTTTTTTACAAAGTACCACTCTATAAAAATTAGATAATTTCATTCCGAGACAATTGGATATTTTAGAATTTCATTCGCTCATTTCGTGAGCATCATATAGATCCCGTTGCAATGACTCGGCATGATTTTGTTGAATGCAATGGCGACAATTTCATGTTGATCATACCGAAATTAACCCACATCGTTTACCAACATATGACACTGACACCAGATAAACTGGATGAAATTATTTTGTCGCAATGGTTTTGGTTATTTCTGGCATTTTATGTCGCAATGACTAATCAGGTAATTTTCGGCGATGTTTCTGTTTCTATTATATTTTCTTTTATTTTTCACAAGGAGTATTGGTTTTTTTAAATTGTAACCAACATTGTAACCATCGAATCGAAGGATTCCCGATCCGATGCCATATTTGAAGGTAAATGAAACGCCCATTTGTTGCCGTGTAGGCAAAAATACCCATAAGCTGTCTACGCATTAAGGACCCACCTCGACCTTACCGATCTAAGTCTGGATTGTGCTTTTGATGGTTTCCAAACTTCTCATTTAACTCGGCCTCTTTTAATGGGCGACAAAGAACATGGCTAAACCAGCGTAGACGATAGACGCGTTATACCAAAATTGGTCAAAGTCTATCGATAACTTCCACTGCGTGACGCTTCATAGTACCACACTAATGTTGAATCGAAAGCAAAATCGATAAAATAAGTGTTGGTTGCGGATATTTGAAGCGATCAGCACTTCTCTTCGCCTATAATTAGTCTGCTTATGAAATATCCCGATTTCATGCATTGATGCAGGTCTCTCCAACAAAGAAGGAGTGAAATCTTCCAAAAATATTACTTTAATTGAGGCTGATCGGCTCCTCGAGCGCCATCTATATTACGGCTACTAAGGTTTTTCGATGAAAGCGAATTTTTATCTTTTTACAACTGAAATTTTTACTGATGATAATGCAGATGAAATACTATAAATAATGTCGAATTACAGATTCATAAATGGTCGCATACATTTATTGGATTACCACCATGGGTTATAAAGTTGCAAACTTGGCACATAATACTTCCGCGTAAACATCACAAGCTACATCATAATCCGCCACATGATTGTTGTTACTGCATTACAACCGGTTGGCTAAACAAACCTTTGGATAAAATCAAATTTTGGCGAGGCGTAGAGCATATTGTCACTGCGTTAACGGGTATGCAGCCACGTAGTGATGACCTCAAATGGGCCAAATCGTGACTGATCGATTATCATTTTTTCACGAATTTTTATCTTTTAATAATTCTTAATCACTAAAAAATTTGCCTCGACATTTGGCTGAAAGCAAAGGCAAAGATTTGCGAAAAATCGTTTCTTGCTCTAAGGATTTATTTGATCTATCTTTCTTATATGTTTCGAATATAGCAAAAAATTTAAATCATTAATACCATTAAAAATCAGTTTTATTATTGAAATTCATAATAAAGGTTCCTAAAATCTATTTAAGTAATTAGCAATAAAAAATAACTCATCGAACATCTGTTCTAAGACGAAATGAGAATGCAAAACTGAGACAATGCTAAAATATCACAATCGAGAAGGCATTAAATACAATAGGATTTGCAGATACTAAAGAAACATAAAGGAAATTCCATAAGGTAAAAAATTATTATGATGGATTTTAGCGAGGGCTAGAGGAGAGGTTCTGGAGAACGCACCTGGCATATTTCAAGCAGTTGTCTGGCAAAAATCATCTAACTCTACCGATCAAATCAGATATGGTAAGCACCATTAAAGGAAAAAATGAATGGGAACTAAGAGGAACTAATGGAATGTAAGAATATTGGAGAAATATGAAGTTTAGATGAGTTCAGAGTTCCGGTGGTGCGATAATATGATACTAATAAGAACTTTGGGTAAATACATACTGTAAAATAAAAAAATAAAAAGTCCGACGGGGCGATGTAGATTCCTTGCGAGACCGAAAGGTCTGGAAAGGTCAGTTGAGAATCGGTGGACAAGCAGACAAAAAAGGATTAATTTCAACTCCATGAGTACTCGAAAATTCGCCTTACATGTAAAATTTTTCTTGAATGAAGATCTCGCAAATTTTAAATATTTCATTTAAATATTCATATTCATTTACTATTTATATTCATTTACTAAATATATTCATTTGCTATTTTAAAAAAAAAACTTATTTCTTAATTCTCATGGTGTACTATGCAAAAAATCTTAGGGAATAATACAAAAGCCCTGATAGCAAAAAATATTTTTGCAAGGAACTAATGGGGAAAACACTTCTTTTGTGAAAGACCAACTAAAATCAAACTGATCACTTCAACAATCTTTGCGGTGGATGAGAAAAAATTAGGGAATCCTTGAAAACAATATGGCAGCCACAAAAAAATTCGAAGAAATATTTGACGTACAGATATCAAGCCTTAAAGAAACTCTTCCCGTCCGATCGTGGCTAATGACCGCGTGGCCTACCCCATTCAAATGGAAATACTGCAGTGTCTCGGTCATCAATATATACTGCTGCTACCTTACTTATTATAAATATTTATTAATTATCGTTATAAATAAAATGTATATAAAAAATGTACACAATTATCAGTCTAAATTATAATTATTATTTAAAATTAGTTTATATTTCATATAAATAAGAAGCATAAATGGATGAATTCTTATTTTCAAAATTTGAAATAGTATAGTAACTGACCATTCGAACTGACCATTTCAATACTTTGCTTTCATTTTTTCCATTTAAGTGAACAAACAGTAATTAGTAAAATATTTCACAGATAAACAAGAGAATCTAGTAATTTATCTAAGTTTTAAAAAAAATTTTAAAACTATTGTAGTGAAACCAAATTTCTATAAAATTCATATTTCAACTACATTCGCGTTATAAATTAGTGTTTTTTAAGTATATAAAAAATTGAGGTAATAAAAGCATTTACTTTTGTGAATCTAAAGGGGTTTAATAAAAAAAATACAAACAGAATTTTCATAAAATTTTCATAAACTGAATAGAAAAGTTCGAAAGATCGAAAATTATACAATATTATACTGATGACATCTTCAATTTTTTCGTGTCACCCATCTTTTTGCCACACATCGCACAAATTGCTTTCTGATATGCGCACTGCTGACAATAATGAGATCCAATCTGATGAACTTTCGTTTTACAAATACGACATTTTCGAAATTCCTGATTATATGGTTGAAATCTGCAAGAATTCGGATTCCAGATAATAATGAAATGAGATTTTAATGAGATATTGAGCGGTGGTTTCTTTTATTTGATCTAACCTAATCGATTATTTCTAATATTATTGTAAAATAGTTTTTTTCTCGAAACTTCTAGCTAGATTAAGTTTTTTTCTCTTTTTTTTCTTTTTTTCTCAAATTCAAATAGAGAATTAAGATAAAATTAATATGTAATAAAATTAATATATATATATATATAATTAATATATACTGAGTTTAAACCTGAAATTAGAAGTGAAATCCATATACATATATATATAAATCCACATATCTATATATATAAAATATGATCATATTATAAAAAAAATAATTTCATAAAATTATGTCTATTTTCAGCGAAAGTAAACCTGTCTTGCCAAAAATCCGGGTTGCAGCTGAGTACTCACCTGCACTTCTATCTCCAAGTGACTCTGCGGTGAAGGGGTCAAATATCTTTGATACGGCGTCCGCGTCTCCCGACTCGCATGACACCCCCAGCGTGGTGGTTCATGCAATATCAGGGGGAACAGGGGGATGCAATATCTCTGCACGCGCGATGAGATATTAGCCGTATCAGCGTGGAACGTTAGAACACTTAAGGACGTTGCAAGGCGATCACAGTCCACACCCTTTCTAAATATCGTGTGGATATCGCTTGCTTGTCGGAAGTCCTCATTTCTCCTCTTGGGTCTCGAGTGATCCTGGTTCGGAGCAGAGATACTGGCTATATCACCGTGGTGCTCCGGATAACTCGGGGCGAAATGGCGTAGCGGTTGTCATGTCATGATAAAGCTCATTCCGCTTTCATTGAGTGGAAACCGGTAAGTGATCGTATGGCCTATGCACGTTTTAAGAGCAAGTTCTGCAATATCTCGATCATCAGTGTCTCTATGTTCCAACTTTGTCCGCAGATGACTGAGGATAAAGTTAAGTTCTATGCGGAACATCAATTGCTAACAATGTTTCTACCGAAAATGACATGATCATAATCGGGGAAGACTGGAATGCTTGCATAGGTCATAATGCAGCTGCGATGACCTCAACAATTGGCAAATATGGCATCGTAGACCGGTGTCCCAATGGGGAACGCCTTCTTCGTTATGCCGAAGAGTATGAACTTTTTATTACTAATACTTGCTTCCAACATCGTAGAAAAAACCTACGTGGGACTCCCCGGATAACCAACACTTCAACCACATAGATTACACCTTATTCAGTTGCCATTTGAAGAGTTCCGTACTAAATAATTCCTATCGCGATGCTGAAATGGGCTAGAGCATAAAATTGACAACTCGCAGGAAACAACATCCTCCAAGATCCTTAAACTATCTCAAACTTAAAAAATTCTTAATTATCTTAAAAAATTCGGGAACAATAAGCGCATTTCAAACCGAATTATTGAAGTATCTCAATGATATAAATATCGCTGACTTTTCTGGAACGGCAAATGAATACTGGTCCAAATTAAAGGAAAGAACGAAAGTCAACCACTTCCACACATACTAGTAGATAGAAATGTGCTAGTTGGATATCGGAAGCAACTGTCCAAACTTCCACACATACTAGTAGATAGGAAGTGTGCTAGTTGGATATCGGAAGCAACTGTCCAACTGCCTGAAAAAGATGCCTAAGCACGAATGTCAAGTGACTCTGACTACCGGTTGCTTCGAAGATTTGCAACGAAAGTAGTACGGCGGGAACAGAAATCACTATTGGCGTGACAAAGCCTCAAAAATGGAGACGGTGGCTCGATTATGTGTTAATAGGAAACTATACCGCCTCCTTCATAAAGCAGCTATGACTCGGGGAACGATCAGTGAAATGATAAGGGACAGCAATGGCGTGCCGATCAAGAGTATTAAAGATCGTCTCATAAGATGGAAAGAATTCTTTGAGGCCAAACTTAACCATGAAGCGCCATTTGCTCCTGATATAGCTCATACGTTTACCGAAGCATACGCTTGGAACTGCGAGTCTCCAACAGAAGAAGAAATAATTTCCGTTATCCAATAAGCTTAAGATTCTGGGAGAAGATGATCTTCAGGCTGAACTGTTTAAATGTTTAACAAACCTTCAACAAATGTACTCTCTGGTACGGAAAAAAGAAATCTTACCAGATGATTGGAGCAAAGCAATTCTGTTTACAATTCTCAAGAAAAGTGATAGGACATACTGCAAGAATAATCGAGGAATCAGCCTACTAGACACCTCAGCGAAAAATTTTGCTTACCTTTTACTCAATAGACTTATGGAAGTACGAGAGAGAAGGAAGCGCCCTAATCGAGCTGGATTCAGTTGTGGTTGTGCTAACCAGATATTCACGTTAAGAAGGATGTTGGAACATCTTTCAGATATTTGCAACCCACTGTCACGTGTTTCATCGATTTTGTGGCTGCCTTTGATTCAATTGATAGAGAGGCGCTTTAGAGAGTGATGGAATGTTCCAGACAAGATCATTCGACTCATAAAGGCATTTTATGAGAGTACGTTGGCGCAGGTCTGTGTATTATATGGGGAGTTTACAGACTCCTTCGAAATAAAAGCAGGTGTCCGTCAGGGTTTGCGTTCTTTCCCCCACAACATTCAACTATGCGATAGACTGGGTAATGGACACCGCTTGTAGATCAAGGGATGTTCAAATCAGTCCAGAGCACCAGATCTTGAATACGCTGATGATGTGATCCTTTTTTGCTGACAGTTATGACGAAATGCAAGTAATGCTAAATAATGTATCAGAAACTGTAGCAAGAATCGGATTTGGGATCAATATAAACAAAACGAAAGATTTTTCGTTTTATGTGCAAGAAACTGATAAAATAAACTGGAACTGATAAAATAGCCCCTTTTTATAATTTCATTACCAATTGAGGAAATGCCCAATTACAAATATCTTGGGTCCACTCTTATACTCAAATGGCCAAGCAAAAGACGATATTATAGCAGGATCAAGCTAGATATGCGTTCTCTCGTCTGACGAAACCTTTATGGAGCCGTCGTGACATTACCATTACCATTAACTAAGGTACATTTTACGGGTCCGTCGAGTGGATAGAATATCACATCCATCTTCGTTCAAATATCACTTGCGTTCATAATGTTATCATAGATGCATCGTCTTCGCTGGTTAGGGAACGTTTTCCGTCGTCCACCACAAGACTTTTGCATATTTCGTTACTTGCTAAACCGTGCGATGGTTGGCGTCAAAAGCGAGGCGGGCCAATCAAGACCTGGATTGGTACGGCCAGAAAAGATTTTGAATGTATAGATGGACCAGCAATATGGACTTTAACGATGGAAAAAAGAATGGCTTCAGTTACCGTTGAAAATAGCATCTGACCACGCCGCTTGGAAGTGTCTTACTCCTGTAGCCGTTGGAGTCAGCCTAACCAGTAATGGTGTGAGCTGCTAGAAGAAGAAGAATCAAATGAAATACAAATCATAAATTTAAAATTAGAGTGTATTTTCTTGAAAATAATTTGATCATAAAAATGTTTTTATGTTTTCCAAAAAGATCTAAATTTCAAATGAAATTAAAATTTTAGACAAAAGAAGGAATGCATTTTTAATCTGGTAACTTAAGCAAATAAAAAGGTTTTTTCTACGCGAATCTTACAGTCCATTATTATCTTCGAAATATAAACATTCGTTAAAGAAAATTAAAAGTGATGGATACTATAACAAAACTATAAAAATCCAAACCTATCATGTTTTGTTGATAACAACTTATTCTCATTTTGTGCAATTTTCACCGGACCCAACCCTTCATTACGACCTTTCGTACGATATGGATCAATAGTAGCTATTTTGCCCAATTTTGCTACACCTAAATTTTGAATTTATTCACAAAATATAAAACAGCATCTAATCAATAAAATGACAGTTTATAAATAATATAAATAAATAATTTATTCAATAACAAATCATTTAAATAAATGTAAATGACTTAGTAAATGCCGCTCATTATTTATGTTAATGGATAATTTTTTTCACATTTTCAGATTCCTAAAGTCTAAATAACACTACATTAAATTCTAAAGAAATTCGAAAAATTCGAAATTTTTTTTTTAACATTTAATTTTGATAGCTTTACAATGAATTAGTTAATTTAAAACATGAAAGCAACAATTTAAAAAAACACGCATATAAAAAAAAATAATGAGCATAAAAAAAATAAAATACAAAAATTAAATAAAAATTAATAAATGAAACAGCACCCTCCATTATAATATCAGAAATCTTGAAAATGCTGATAATACTTTTTCCCTAACAATTATGAATAAATAAAACAGATGTTAAATAGGTGTCGACAAAAAATTGCTGCAAAAATCAATGCCTTTCAGGATTCACGACTAATACCTTTTCGCCTTATATATCTGACACCGATAATATAAAAATTGATAAAACATTTTTATCAATTCATTATGGCTAAAGAAACGCAGAATCTAAATATCTTGGATCCACTCTCTTATTCCAAATGATAAAGAGAAAGATGCAGGATAGACAGCAGTTAGAAATGTGAAATCTTTGTGGAATGGCTGCAAAATCGTCACTATTACTAGAGAAGTTATGTACCTTTAACCAATCATGTCTAGGACACATTTTAAATGTTCGCCGGTAAAAATCTCAAAGGATTATATTCATCTTCAAATACTACCTGCATTCAAAATACCATCAAAGATTATAGCTAATTAGACCATGTTTTTTATAGTCCATTGAAATGACTGAAGCAAGACTGAAGTTATTTTCTAGAGAAGTTCCTCCTGAATATTAAATATTATATAAAAATACATCAAATGTAGTCCTCCCAAATTATACAACACCAGTAAAATCATTAATGAGAAGGAACATGATTTTTTGCGCCCAACATTTGGCAAAGGACTTTCAAATAAGCAAATGGAAAATCAATATAATCGACGTAACAGTGCCTGTCTTGTAATTGTTCTGTACTTGAAACTATATAAGGCAATATAAAAATCAGCGAAAAATATGAGAATTAGTAAGAGTCTAGGATGCCAGAAGAACACTAAAATTGAAATGGACAACATATCATATGACGTGCCAATCACTGAGCAAGCACTGTGAGGACACAATAAACCTAGAGATTTTTGATCGTCTAGCAAATGAAATGAAAGGCCTCAACCAAAAGAATGATAAGAATCAAACAACAATCAAATAGTACTGAACCTTAAATGATCAAAAAAATTCGAAGACCCACTGTTCCGATATTATTTCGAGAAATTTCTTTTAAATACTCAAATGATTTTTTTTGGCGATGAAATATTGTAAAGAGGTTACTAATTTTTTTCCTTCTGTTATCTCATCTCTCCGTATTGTTGTATATATTTAAGGCATATAGAAAGCATTTTTTTAACTTGTATGAATATATTTATTCCGAACTATCGAGTTTCATCATTTATTGTCATCTTTACCTTAACTTTATTTATTTCGTAATCAAATAATTGTTGTCATCATAGATCTAACACTGTCACTCAACATAACCAGCTAAGGATCAGTCGAGATCTGAAAATTAAGAGGGATTTTGAGCGCATAGGCACTCCAACGATATGTGGGTTTAGACAGCGGAAAAATGAGTGGCTGTTTTTAATATCAGCCAAGAAAAATAACATTCAAATATAAGCCAAAAAAATCAGTGTTATTTTATTTTCTCGGGAAATATGTAAGAAAAGGCAAAATATTTTTAAAATGTTTCAGATTACCCATTAATTTTTCTCCTACTGGACTAAAAATTATTTAAAAAATCATAAAAAAAATGAATTTTTAGAGACTTACATGATTCGCACACCATTATTTTTATTCAAAGCTGATTTCCTGGAAAATTATTTTATAGTTCCAAAATTAATTTTGCAAATTCAAAAATAATATGGTAGACAAATGAATCTTCAGCCTATTCGTAGAAATCACCTATTAGTTCACTAATAAAAATAAC